TTATAAAAAGTTTTATTATCTATTTGTTTTCTCCCTGTCATTTACAGACGTGAAGCACATGGACACATGCATATATTTACATAAATATATGTAAAAGAGAATTAATAGGAGGGATCAAGGCTGAAGTACAAACTTATAATGTGTAACTCAAAATACCATTGAAACTATTTAAATTAGAAATCACAAAAAAATATTTAACTCAATTTTCCTTTTACATTTAAATATAGTTCATCAAAAACAGGGATAACAAAAATAAGAAAAAATAGCAAAAATAATAATGATATCAATAATTGCATGACCACTGATTACCCAATTTTTTTTATATCTTTTTATGTTTGTCATAATTTTAGATGATGATGTTTTAGTTTTTTAAGTATTTATATACAATTTCCAGTTGAGCCTATCATGAATTTAGATTCCCATGAATTTAGTAGCAACATCAACAATCTTGAGTTGGCATTGTTTTAATGTATGATGTTAGTTCCATGTTTAATGATAGTTTATTGACATCAAACCGATTTTTAGCATTTTAATTTTAGTTTCCACCCAAAATAACCTGTACTGTTGCATCCAGGTGCAACTAGAGATGTTGTCCAGAATAATGCAGATCGCTTTGATCAGCAGATAAGATACAATATATTTCACAACTTCACAATATCGTTCATATACGTACATAAAAAACTGTTATTTTTGATTTAGCAGAATGAACATAATCTAGGCTGATTATACTTACTGATCTCTGTCACTGGACTGGTTAAATGTTTATTAAAACATAGTGAAATTAACATAGCCTATTGAACCAAGACCTAACACATTGGTTTTTTTAAAACTAAATATTAATATAAATATTATGAATAAACTTTTATAATATTAATAAAGTTATTGATAATAAATACAGAAATTAAAGCACATGTATTATAAACCGAAAATGCATTGAATAATATGAGTAAATAACGTAAAATACAAAATCTATGGCAAAAAGACAAAACAATACTTCCTTTAAAGAAAAATCACATCTCTTACAAAGAAATGTTAAAATTTTGTGATGAATCAAAGTAATTCCACCAGAGGTTCTTTAATAAAAATACATTTATTAAACAAAAAGCAGAACATTACCAAAAAGGACCAAAGAATAAAAAAGACTACAGACTTTTTTATTCTTTGGATCACATATGGATCACATTTTTTATTCTTTAGATCACATATGTCACATATTTTTTTATTTTTTAACATATGTGATCTATGGTTTTAAAGCTTTGCTAGTATCTATAAAAACCCAACAGTATACCCTCTGCGGTCAATCCAAGTTAATTCCATAGCTGCCATTAAAATAAATCTTTTCAAACTAAAAACCATATGGATGTGGTATAAAAAATAATTTATTTCTATTTGATTTTCGGTTTGAAAGTACTGTTACATCTTTTAATGTCTCTATCCGTCCACTCTTCTGTGTGGGTCAGCCAAATTGCATATTGCTATGGTGACAAATGGTGGCCAGAGCAACTCCAGCATCATATTATGTGGTAATGCTTTAAGCCAGGTTGCTTTGCGGAAGAGACTGACTATTAGATAAAAAGCAAAGTGGGCAGAAACTCTCTTCCGTTTTCAGTGGGGTCTTTCCCTGGAAATTGCTGAAGACATCAGGGCCTGATAGATGGTGAGATGTTCCTCTGTAGTATGTGCTTCTATCAATGATTTGTTAAACATGACCTGAATAAATTTTATTTAATAAATAAATATAAATGCACTTAGACTAATACATTAACTTTCGTAATCAGTATGGTATTTAACTCAATAAATTATATCATTAGATCAAAGTTTATCTGTATCTATGTTACTATATATATTCTCCTAATTTTGTTCCCATTAAGTTGAAGATATTTAAATCCACAATTTTATTTTTTCTGCTCCATTGTCAGTTAGATCATCATTTAACTCATCATTCCTCCCTGTTAACTGATCATCACACATCAATCAATCAATCAATCAATCAAGCAATCAATCTTCTGTATGCTAAAAGTTTTGCTAAAAAGCCTTCTAAAGATAAGAGATCCATGTTTAAATAAGGAAACGTATATAAGAAATATTTAGTTAACTTGTAAAAAGTATAATTGATAAGGATGTAAATGCTAACCTATAGAAATGTCTTTATGCAGCTTTCTGTTAAGCAGAGATGGCAAAAGTACTCACTTTCCGTACTTGAGTAAAAGTACAGATACTTGTGTTAAAAAATACTCTGGTAAAAGTGGAAGTACTGATTAAACTTCTTTACTCAAGTAAAAGTAACAAAGTACAGGCTTGTAAATTTACTTAAAGTATAAAAGTAATAGTAGAAAACCCTTTTTTCATGCCGTTGCCTACATTTTAAATGGATGTCTG